CAACCCACCAACCCCTACACACAATCCTTCACCCTGGCCCCCCCTTTTCATCCCTCCACAACCTCGTTTCCTTTCCGAGGCACGGCAAATCTATTCAATTTGAACACGTGTAGTGATTTTCTGGTCAGAGGGACAAAGGTGATGCTATTCAGTTTCCATAGCCTCTTTAGTTACATCTAGCGTTAACTGCAGGCAACTACAAGTTGTGTTTTCCATCAACCACTACAGATGTCATCGACAGCTGCGAGAGCTGTATCAACGGACATTTTCAATGATCGTAATGGTCAGTATTTTTTTTCCCAGACCGATACCAAGTACGGGTGCTTCCTCTTTGACACCTCATTGATATCAAGTGTGGATACCTCTCATACTTTGGAGGTATAAAACTTAATTTAACACAATGACAAAAAAAAAAACGTGGAGAAAAACTTTCATTCTGATGCAGACGATGATTGGCAAACTCACACTGCATCGCACCAACTCTTGCGGAAGATGAGCTACTCCATGATGATCTGGTATCTTAAAATAAGGCCAGTATCATCTTGAGATCAATACATGGGAATGGTACTATCCCATTCCTCATGAACATTATCGCTGTCATTATTATTTTTATTATGGTAGTTGTTCTTTACAGTGGTGTAGAACACTGCAAGCTATTTTGGGAAAAATCAGAACCCAGAAGATTTAGTGATCCCTCGCCATGCCTGTCATCCAGTAATTAATTGTGGTTTAATGTTAATTTTGCTGTCTTCAAGGCCAGCAAATGTCCACCTGAGGCTTCCACTCCTTTTTCTTTGTTTTGTTTTTACCATGCGGGTTGTCTGATAAGAGCATTTCTTTTTCATGGCTAAGCAGGCTGCTACAGCAGCTCCAACTCACTTACTCTTTTGTTTCTTTGTTTCTTTTTCCTTTATATTCCCCCCTCCACACACACATTTGGTGATTCTTTTTGTTCAAAATGCATTGTAAGAGAATCTTTTTCCCCCCTCTTGTTTCGAATGCTTCACTGACAACTTTTAATAATCCATTCATGAATTGTTTTTTTTTAATAACTGGTGATTTTTTTTCCCCACCCATTAATAAAAATTGAAAAAAAATGGGGATTATTTCAAATTGGTTGTGCAGAAAAGTGCACAAAGATTGATGCATGAATATACCAGAGCTCTTGAAGTCATAATTGTGATTGGAAAAAAGGAAAAGTTGATTCCTATATTCTAAGAGGCTATGAACCAACACATAAATTGTGTCGCCGTATTAAATTAAGATCATCATCAGTTACAAAGCACAAACAGCGCAATATTGTGACCTTAAAATCTGGAGTGCATTTTCCAACGATGGTCTTCTGCAGGATATGCCTGCCACTCTTTTCACCTTTCCTTCCCCCCTTGACACCCATGCTTTTTTCATCTTCCCCTCTTTCTATCCCTCCGTTCTCTTGTTCCTCATCCCCTGACCGCTCGGTGCTCCCTCTCGCGCTTGCAAGTTATGGTTTGTGGCTGCTGAGCTGACAGCAACAGCACAGGACACGATAAGACTGTGACCTCGCTGGCCGGAGAGGATGAGATGAATGCGTTTATGTGCGATGGGAAGGTATGAGAGGTTCAGCCGGTGCTGTCCCGGGTGCTTGGAAGCCCAAACAACAGAATTTTTCATCACCTACTGTGCATATGCATGGATGTACCATATGAACTTTTGAGCACTGATCTTTGTCAGGCACATTGTAATGACTTCCAATATAAGAGTTGTCGCAAATATTTATGCTCCAAAAACGTCTATGTATAGCACCCCGCACGACCCTTATGAGGATAAAGCGGATCAGAAAATGAATGAATGTATGAAAGAGTCCACTCAGAGTTTGGTCACGGGCCACATCAGTTTCTCACCCCTGTCATAGACATATACATAGCTTGCTAGATTAATACAGACCATCAAAATTATGTCCCGAAACAAAATACTTTTGGCTCTGTAATCGTTTGGACACAAACAAACTCTGTCGTCCTTATGAATGACGTAACGATGGCAAACACGGGCGGGGATGGAGAGCTACACTTTACAGTGTCGAGTCGTGTAATCAATTCACGATCAACGGGCCGGTAAAAAAGATGCAATTTGGTCCTTTTCTGTCTCGTCTCGAGTGTTTGTGTTTCACTTTGTACTTGTGTGTCCACCAAGGGCATCATTTATCCTGCAGGCTAGAGGTATTAAAAAAAAAAAAAAAAAAAAAAAAAAATGCTGC